ACGGTGTATAATTTACCTTTTCATCATTACTGTTTCATTAGAAACACCGACGCAGCTCACACTAGTTTTTAGCTAGTTATATCTTTTTATAGTTTTGTGTTTGTAGGGTTTTCCCATATTACTCTGAACATGATTTAAACAATAAGTACCCTTTATCGATTTTTAAAGTTTTTTTAGAGAACAAGCAGAGATTTCGCCGACGAAACTTGAGCCTGCATTTGTTTGTTTTTCGCTACTCGCTATCTATCACCATAGTTGATTACTATGCTATCACAGGATAGATAGTGGGTACGTTAGCCAATCAAATTGCAGGATTCGTGATAGTATGCTAGTAAGTATATGCTAAGTGTATATGTATACTTGCTGCAAAAAGGTCTCATTAGATATATGTATCGATGTATACTACAACCTTTCTGCAATCAAGTGTATATATACTATGCATATACATGTTTAGCACAGCTACTTAGCGAATAACCCTGCGAAGCATAATTTAATCTTATAGCCAGTATATGACTTCGAAACGTCGGTTTCTTTCGCATGTTTTACTTGTTTTTGCAATTCAAAGTCGCTATTGACTACATTTTACATTTACGAAATTACAAGCACGCCCACTCTTCGAGGCTTAAGTGCTCGGGACTATATAGAAAGAAAAAAGAAAAACAGAGCATATATCATTTCTCGGTGGCAGACGAACGTAGTCTCTGGATACGAGATTGACGTAGAGAACAACATACCACTGTACAGTTGAGTTGATTGGTTTTATCGTTCTGTAGGATGCGAAGTTACCACTGATGTTAATGTGCACAAGGATAGGTACCACATAAAGCTGAGATTACAAGATGGTGAAGACTTGGAGATAGCTTGTCAAACTGTATGTAATGAAAAACACAGAGTTATTGTGTATTATGAAATAACTTCTATGAATGTCGCGTTCTGATTGGTTTGGAGCGCGTGCTTTATGAGAGCACATTGCACGTGCGCGTACTTTCCGTTGCGTCATTCCTATCTATTATTCATGTATTTTATATTTCATAAAAAAATAAAAAACTTGCTTGTTGTGCTGTGTGTAGTCATAAAGCACTTGGGGATTAGCAGAACACTCGAGAAGTGTCCAGAAGCACTCCGCTACGCGTCGTGCTTCTCCTAACACTTCTCTCGTGTTCTCTCGTGTTCTGCCAACCCCCGCGTGCTTTATGACAGCACACAGCACGCGCGCGCGTTTTCTATTTCTTCAATATTGAAGAATATTTATTTGTTTGTTTAGGAGACGCAATATGCTAAGTGGATGGCTGCATTCCGCATGGCATCTAAAGGCAAGACCATGGCTGATGTGACCTACAATTCCGAGAAAGCTGGCATACAAGCTTTTTTGAGTATGCAGCATGACAAGGGTGAATCTACTCCCACCAGCCCTGGACAGGTATCTACTTTCTTGCTTTGGCATGCAAATTGTGATAGAGGAATTTTACAAAGCTTTATTCTGCTTTGCACTTTTGTTTTAGATTCAAATACAACCGGAAGATTTTGTTGGACCTAGAATGTTGAGAAAATATAAGCCGAAGCAGGTCAGTATTAAGAATAAAATTACACACTTGTACACACACTTGCCTCACACAGCCTTATCTCAAAAGCACAGTTTGCGGAGAAAGCAAGCCTTGTTAAAGGGGACTGGAGCATGGTGCTTCGAAAGTGTTTTGAATTTTACCCTTTCTAAAGCCCTATTTTCCGCATTTTTAAATATTTCCGAGTATAAAAGTGTTTTTTTTTTTTTTGTWGTTTTTGTTTGTTTTATTTATATTTGTTTTCGTTTGTTTGTTTTTTGTTTTGTTTTCGTTTGTTTGTTTTTTGTTTTGTTTTACGTACATATTTTTTGGTGCTACTACTGCTCCTTTGCTTTCCTTTTTCCTATGACACTCAGTTTTTTCGTACTTTTGTATTCAGATAGCTGCACGTATTTTAGATGCACATACTTCATTACAAAAGACATCACTCGTAGAGTCCAAGATGCTGTACATTAGAAAGTGGCAGTCTTTACCAGAGTTTGGTACTTCCCACTTTATTGTGAAATTTAGATCCGACAAACCATCCAAGAAAGAGGTTAGATAAATATTGCTAACATCAAATGTTGTAAGTGTACTGACAGGGCAGAAAAATGGTTTTTGGCCTTTCGCCATAATTACGGCTTTACGTTTTTAAGCTCAATATTTTGTAAACACGTTCTTTTCGACCCAAATAGCAAAATATCAAGTGCGACCAAAATTTAGTGAATGCGTATTTGAGATATAAAGCCGTGTTTTTTTGGGAGAGGTGATATTTTTATCAGCATGAGAAAATCTGATATTTTCATGAACACTTAGTAAATATATTCTAATTTCGTCACAATTTTCGAGCAGCAGTGACACAAATGAAACGCTTAACAATTTGGAGTATTAAACTCAGTTAAATAAAAAAAAAATCGTGAAAGGAGCGGGCTTGTCGTTTTTCTGCCCTTTCTTGTGTACTGCTTTGTTCGTTCTTTTTTTTTTTTTWTGCATCACAGGAAACCTTGGGAATGCTTGGGTTTTAATTGATCGCGAGTCAATTTTTGTCATGCAACAGTGCCAGGAATTTTCTAAAGCCAGATAATGTGTGAATAATGTGCCAATACCTTTCAAATGGTACATTTGTGAGTCCATGTTTTGTGAGTCCATGTTTTGTGAGTCCATGTTTTGCGAGTCCATGTTTTGCGAGTCCATGTTTTGCGAGTCCATGTTTTGCGAGTCCATGTTTTGCGAGTCCATGTTTTGCGAGTC